ACAGAACATTTATTAGATGTCTAAAACTCATACAACACAAAACAAAGGAAAGGAAAAAAAAATAAACAAGGGAAAAGATATTTAGACATAAATATGCAGGTGTTTTTTTTCTGCGGCTTTCAGTTTGAGGGAGAAACAACACCTCACAGCCCCATTATCTCTGTTTACCGTGTATGATCGGGTTCTTTTTAATAACACTCTCCCAGCTGTTTAGAACTCCTCAGAATCTTTGGGAAAGCAAAGTGCAGGCAGACGATTACAAAAAGGGAGAGTTGTGTTTCCACGTGTCGTCCCTCCCTCCCCTTCCCTCCCTGCTGAGCCTTAAAGCCAAATTTCACAGCAATAGCAACTGCTTACCTTCACACTCTGACACATTGAATGTAAATGACTTTGGCCCCAATGCCGCTTTAACACTAAGCCTATAAATAAACTCCGGAGTACTTTCCGAGCACTTCCTCTCATACACATGCTGCCGTGGGGGAATCAACATCCCTGCTCCTGCGACGAGTAAAATCTGCTGACAAGATTTCTTGCGAGGTCAACTCCAAACGCCTTCAGCTGCAGACAGGAGGGGAATAAAAACAACAACAACAACACAGCAGCAGCAGTTGTGAAGGAGAGAGAGGTGGTGTCAGGTGTCATTAGTTAAATGAGATATCTTCTTTAGCGATGGTTAATTATTGTTGTGGCTGCATTGTGGGAATGAAGCAGCACGGAGTTTGTCATAATGAGGCAGAGCCAGACGGCGACCAGAGGCACATAAGGTCAGAGTTAGGGGGGCAAAGGGGCCGACAGCTGAACGTCCCATTCTTCACCAAGAGTCAGACTGCTGTCACGGCTGACCATCTGCACCTCCCTGGGTTCTGTCAACGCGCCCTCACTTTACGACCTACCTACAGCAGAGAGGGGAAGGCGAGCTGAGTGTGCCCTGAAATAGCAGGACCCACCAGGGTGGAGTCCTTATGAATTCTGGAGAAATCAGGTGCAAGCATATGGAGAAAGCCATAGATGGAGAAAGCCATAGCTAGATCAGACATTGGCTCTTAAGTTGTCATGCACTTTCAAACTCTTGTACAGTGCATTGCAAAAGTATTGTTGTATTGTTTCCCCTTTGGTTTAGTTCAAAAGGGACAATACACGCCACATAATAAGCCAGAGTTAGCCATAAAGGCTTGTTTCCATCTGTAATTCCTCAAACACATATTTACGAAATTTAGAAGTGCAATACAGACAAATTAACAAGCATGATGATAAATGAAAAGCTTTTATTTATCATCATAATATATATATATATATATATATATATATATATATATATATATATATATATATAAGATATCATGTTACAAATTTAAAAAGAAATTTATACGCCCCATTAAACTTTCAGTTTGCTGTCATGTTGCAACTACAAACCTCAATGTACTTTATTTGGATTTTATTTGGCACAACACAGGAAAATGATGAGTAGTCGCAAATTAAAAGTTAGTAGAACTTTAAATCTGTAACCCTAAAAACATAAAATAAATAAATAAAATATATTAAAAAAAAAAACATAAAAAAAATCAACACACCCAACTGCCTTCAGAAGTGGGAGTCCGGATGTGGGGGAAGAGTCTATTTTTAGAGAGCGTTCCTGAACAAACAACTCCATGAAGATCGAGAAGCACGGCCAAAAAGATGAAGTTGTTTAGTAGTTTACAGCACAGTTCGGTTATTAAACCATATTTCATGCTCTGAATGTCTCTCGAGGCACTGTTCAATCTATCATCTGAAATTGGAATGATTAGTGTGCAACTATAAAACTTCCCTGGCATGATGATGACATGGAGTCTGAGAGCTGCAGAGATTGAATAAAAGAGGGGAAAGAGGAAAGCTGCTGTTGATTGACAAGCATAAAACCTGAGAGTTGAACTTTTCCTGCATGCAGACAGATGTGTGCATGTGTGAGTGCAGGGAATCTAAAACTCCTCTTCATTCTGAACAAATCATGAAACATGGTGTTGAACAATCCCATGTTGGGATGGCCTAGTTAAAGTCCAATCCTAGTTTTCCGATTTGTATCATACCATACTAACATTTCACTGTCACTTTAAGTTCAAATAAGACAGAGTACGTCAGGATGTAAGAACTTTGGTTTCTCGTACAAAGACCAACTTGAACTAAATGATCCAAAAAGCTAGTGGGAGTCTGTGGATGTGGTGAAAATGGTGCCAAAAAGGTCATCACAGATTTAACCAATCAAAGCTAAACTTTACTGAGAAGACAGTAAAGTTTCCCAATGATTACTTTTTCCAGGTTTGCAGTTCAGAATAAGGACGCCGCCGTTTCCATTTGACACCTTCACAACTCTATCCATTCTGCGTCTTCAAAGGTCTCTATTTCATGGCTGTTTAGTCATTGTGGCCCTTAATAAGGTCAACACCTCGGCTGAAAGGGAAATCGACGGCATTGTGAGCCTCTGTCTTTGTGTCACGCCACCCAAGAACATCTGGACTCCACTTCTGTCGCCCAATTTTCACTCTTATTCAATGAGACAAAGGAGGGCAGGCATCTGGCCGTCCCAAAGTCACTCTCCATCACGCCGGACTCCGGCGGACTGACGTGAGCACAATGACGGGGAGGCAGGAAGCCACTGCTGAGAGGAACCGGAGCGGTCAGAGTTTTAAGAGGGATGTGGGGCGGAGAGAGAAAGAGACAGTGAAACAACCCTTACTTCCCCAGGGGAGCTGTTTATGTCCACAACTAGCGGGGAGGGAGAGAGGAAGCCCTCTGCAGGCAGAGGAAATACGCCGTAGGGGCAGATTGTGGAAGAAGTGGGTGTGAATTGTGAAACAACAGTTGCGGGTTAAAGAAATCAACACAGAATCAGAGACTGAATACTAAACGAGACCAAGCGGAGTGGGGAGAACGGAAAAGAAGTTAGTACGCTGACTCCATTAGCAGCGATGGCAACAGCAGCAGCGGCTATAAAACAGAAAACGATTATAGCTGCTTAGGTGTTGCTGCTAATTAGGAATGAGTGATAATATCAGCTCTTGAGGTGCCACTTTGAATTATGTAACACAAACTCATGACTAGGATTTCAGGGGTAAAAAAATGAAAAACTAGCAGGAAATAAAAATGCACAGTTTGCACAGAATAAAATCAGCTTTGACATTAAAATAAAACCCTTTAAGTGTCCCTTACCTTCTGAGAAACTTCTGCAGCAGCTCTCACAGTTCTGGCAGGATATTTGACCACTGTTCATGTCAGAAAGAGCAAAGTTCATTCAAACCGGCAAGTTGTCTGGCTTAGACCGAGCATGTAAACATGGTCCGTAAGTTTTGAATCGACGCATTGAACTTTTTTGATATGATCTTGGACTGAAGTTAATCCGACAGTGGGTCATGCTATCAAATTGTTTTTGGCCAAGCTTACAGCATGCTGAGCTGAGAGGAATGTTTACATGGTGCAGCATAAGATTAAGTAATGTCACGCTGCAATATCGGTCACTCTCTGCTTTTCGATTAACCACAGACTTGTACAAATTGAATTGACAAAAAGAAATTAAAATTGTGAAAAACAAAAAATTTGGGGATAAAAAGTTTTTGCTGCTGTTGATGAAAACGATGAAGACAGCAGACAGGAGGGCATTGTGCAGCTGTCTCCACCATCATGGTTGCATTGTTCATAAGAAGAAGCTAGAGGCATGGCTAAATTATGAATATATTTCACATGACTGTTTATAAGCCATCGCTGTATTATTTTCAGTGACTCATCACGTGAACGATCTTATCCGCATGTGATTTAATGTCACTTTTTATTTAACAGAAACACCGCTATTGCAAAATTGTGTTTTTTTTTTAACGTTATCAGAACATAAACAAGATTTTTGCACACATTTGTTATGGAAATGCGGCTACAGTAGTATCAACTCTTTAGCTGCGATCTAAATGTACTGCACACACAGCGTGAGAGACTGGCTTAGCTAATGCTAAAGTTGTGCACGTGTATCGCATTGTGTCAAATATGTGAAGGGCGTCATTTTCAGTGCTTTTTGCTTCCACTAGCAAAAGGCCAGGCTAGCATGAATCCTTTATTCGTGTGTAAAGCAGAGCACAGAGAGAAAGCGAGGCGCTCACGGCGGTTAGCATTGAAAGTAATCGCAAGTTAAAACATTCCGGTTTTCCAGCTTGCAACCAAAATGCACTCAACATGGAGGACAATCCCAGGTCAGGCTTCCGATATAAACCGGAAGTCGTGCCTCTTGCGATATTATCGACAAGCAACATCCGAGCTGTGATTTAATATCCTCAGGAGCAAAACGATTCTTCAAAAAAAAAAATAAATAAAATAAAATAAAATAAAATAATTTAATTGTTATAGAAATATGTTATTATTATTATTATTATTATTATTATTATTATTATTATTATTATTTTTATAACTCTTCTTCCTTTGAAATGAAGCTGTTCCCCAAGCAGCACGGAAAGCGACCACCAGGACCCCTGCGTTTCTCCGTGTCTGTCTCTTTAAAGCGCTCGGTCCTGCAGGTCGGAGAGGATTTGTTGCGGATAGCTGGGAGTGCGCTGCTCCCCTCGGAGCGTGTTGGCTCAACCCGCAGCTGGCCGGAGCGGAGCGCATAAAGAGCGGGGGGCTCGGCGGAGGAGGAGTAAGAGGAGGAGGTCCTGTCTCCTCTCCTACAACCGGACCACTATCGGAGATTAGTCTCAATGTTATTTTGGCTCTCGGAAGCGGAGGAGGAGGAGGAGCATCCTTTACGAGAAAGTCGGTGCTTGTGTGGCCACGCGGGAGCGGAGAAGTGATGCTGCTGAGATTAGTTATTAGGTTGCTCCTCTGGGGCGACGTTGCCTCTGCTGCCGCTGACTTAGGTTGCTGTGAGTGACATCAAAGTTTTTTTTTTCCGTTTTTTTGTTTAGTTTTTGTTTTAGTTTTTTTTTCTTTTACTCGCTTGAGATATTCCAGCCGAGTCTCTGTCTGCAGATTTGTCCCCTCCTTCCCCCCCCCCCTTTTCTTTAAATTGTTTCTTTTTTCATTAAAACCTTCTCGTCACTTCAATGACTGGAGATTCCCAGGGATCTGGATCCAGAAGAGCGTGGAGATGAACTTTGAACATTTCCTGCTTGTGATTATTTCAATCGTCACCATCACTTCAGGTAAATATTTTATGTAGAAAACACTCTATTTTCTTCCTCTCCCTCCCTCACACCCCCCCCCCCCCCCCCCCCCCCCCCCACACACACACACACACACAGGCACAGTCACAGCCCATATGGCGTGACGCGCCTCATAGTACAGGCTGGGTGACATGTCTGATCGTGTTTTCTGTCTCTCCAGATGGATGTAAATGTTGTGTTTAGCAGCGTTTTTACAACGCGCTCTCTCTTTCTCTCTCTCTCTCTCCCCCCTGCCAGCTGGGGGAGCCGAGCTCATCCTCCCCTCCTCACGCGGATCAGAAAAAGAGAAAATGTCACACATGAATTCATTTTGCGTCATGCAGAAATGCGGCGGGCGAACGCCGAGCAAACGAACACTTTGAACGGCGCAGTTGCAGGAGGAGAAAGAAAAGTGAAACAGTTTAGCCACATCTGCCCCGTCAGATGTGGGTAAATTGTCTGTGGCACTGACCAAAAAAAAAAAAAAAAAAAAGAAAGAAAGAAATTCTCCCCCGCCCTGTTGATGGTGTATGGAAATGGACTATTAAAATGCATTTAAATGCTCATTTTTGGTTGCCCTCCACTAGGAGATTAATCATTTTAACCATTGCTTTAATAAGAGCTTTAAAATCTAAGCCTTAATCCAAATGCAAAATGGAAAAAAAACATTCCAAAAGATTGCAGTTGTGTGTGTGTGTGTGTGTGTGTGTGTGTGTGTGTGTGTGTGTGTGTGTGTGTGTGTGTGTGTGTGTGTGTGTGTGTGTGTTTTCTCAAATTATGCACAATACTGTCTTTTGGTTTCAATTGAAAAATGTATTTAAACCACTTTAGCTGGATTAGTTGGTTTGCTCAAAATTCCCAGTCAGAGCGTTCCTACGTTTTTAAGCCGTTTTGTAGAAATGCCGGAGAATGTGCTAGAGATCAGCGTTTTCAATGGAGTCCTGCCACTTCACAGCATGCTGCTGCACACTGCTGGGCAGCTGGCAGAAAGAAGGCTTTGCTTAAAAAAAGAACCCCAGTTAAGCAGCAATTGACTAATTAACCCACTTACACGAGCTTGTCATATTTGCAATAAGTGGATTTTATGAGCTTTATGACATGTTACAATGTTATTTCCTTATCAGTGCTTTGATTCTGTCATACAAATTTGAGAAAATCCTTGAATCTCCTACGGCAACCATTCGGAGGGGTAAAACCTATTTTCATACAGTCTCACAGAGCGCCTCTCCCCCGTGCAACTTCCCCGTTCGGTTCCTTCAGACTAGCGGCAGCAGTTAGCATGGTGAAACTGTTGAGCTTCGCATACAAACTGCTTCTCATTCAAACCTTCAGAAGAACGTTGTTGTAAACAGGATATCGGAAAGGAAGGGAAGACAGAGTGTGGGAAAGAACAGGAGCTTCTTAAAGAGACAGAGCTCAATTTCAAGACGATAAACCGCAAAATCAATTTTTTTAAAGTCAGGTTTGATACATATTGTGCTTTCATAGCAACTGAAGGCAACTTGATTGTGCTTTAAATTGACATGCGGCTGGAAAATACATAATGCAGCCCAATTAAGGAGAAGATCGGACAAAATCTATAAGAATCAGTTAAAATAAGCAACTATACATGCTGATTATACATGCTAAGCAGCAATAGAAAACTTGTTCAGGGTGCAACTAATATATAACGCAGGTGTTTTTAGTTGTGGTACACGACCCGCTCTGGTTGGTGATCAAACACTGCAGTTATCCGTTTAGTCATCATCCACATTTTTCCCTGTTTACTAAAGTGAAAGTTTCTTTACACCACCGGCATCTATGTCATATAGGATATTCACAGGCTTGTTCATGCTTTTGAAAAAGCTACCAATTTAGAATTAGTATTCAGCCATTTAAATATATCTAAGGCAACTGTGAAACTAATGGACTGAAGGAATGTCACCCCATTACTCCTGTTGGGTCACACTGTTTCTGAAGCAGCTGAAAGCAGACTCTACCAGAGCAGATAGCCCAGCTAACTAAACAGCACTATTAATCTGATGTGTGGAAGAAAAAGAACAAGCAGGATGAAATGAGAAGATAGATAGGAGGGCCACTGCTGGTTATGATATTCTGCATAACCAGGTTATGCAGAATATCATCCCTGAAATCACAACATGGCGAGCAACATGGTGGTCACAGTTGCTTGCCCATCTCCATGTGCATGGTAGAGCTTAAAAATAAAATCTGATTTTTCTATTCCAAATCCTATTTCCAATTCATTTTTCTTTGTGTTTTTTCCCCTAAAAAAATTCAAATGCCAAAACATTTGTTAAAAAATCCCCGGCTTTTCTCCTGTGAGTCGACCTCAATCCAAAGTCAAAATAAATACAAGTTGTAAAACACAGGATGATAGACGTTGGGTGGGTTACTGTCACTCTGGAAACCCAAGGAGTGCACTGGTGGGGGAAAAAAAATAAAAAAATAAAAATCCAGATTTAAAAAACAACAAGAAGATTCGATTAATGGATAAAGTCGAGCCATCACCCCGCCCTACTTTATGGTGACAGACCACCATCTTCCATTGCCTACCTTCAACAGGATAATGTTGTAAAGCTCGAATTGTCTCAAAATCCCACAGTGGGATGCTGTCATGGCCCAAACGTGGAGTTTTAATTTTTTTTTTCTCCAGCTAAAACCTAGACATTGTCAAATCTACATCATGAAAGATTAATGTGGTTCTAGCATCGGTGTAGCTGATAACAATAAAGTGGCCGGTAATCCTCCACCAGCCGAGCAGGTTCAGAGGTGCATTGCTGTTGTCCATCACTCTCAGGGTTAAACCTGCTTTATCTCCTCTAACATTAAAGCCACTTTTAACACCCTTTGCCTTCTGCCTACATCCATTAATCTGGAGTGGCAATCACCTCTGCTGCTGCGCTCGTTCCCGTCCGTAATGTGTGCAATTTGCACGGAGCACTTGAACAGAGAGGATTCGCACCGACTCCCAGGCCTCTGTTGGGAAGCAGAGGAGACAGTGGCAGATATTAACAAGACGGGACTTTGTTTATGTTGGCGATCTGCCAATCAACCTGCTCTGCACGGGTCTCTGGACGTTGCACCCCAAGCAGTTTCAAAAAAAATAAAAAAAACGCTTTGTGATTGTGGGGAAATCAACAAGCGTCTATTGGGTGAGAATCAACACGGCAGCTCAGCTATTTTTCCCACACGAGTACCAAATTTCGTTTGATTCTAATTGAAGTGTGATTTCGCTCGAGCTGCATTCAGATCCGGTGGGTGGGGAACTGTAATCGAAGCTGGTGGTCACTTGCTAAACACGCAGCGCCGCTTTTTGAAAAACTACCTCCGACAGTTCTGCTTAGTCGTCCAACATGCCTCATCGTTGAGTCACGTTGCCTGTATGCAACCCCCCACTTTCTGGTACACTGGGCCGATGATTTCATTTAGAAGATGAGATGATAGAAAAGGAGGACGGCGACGTTTAAGTGACTGGGGGCTGATGCCAGAATGAGTCAAACTTAGCTTTCTCCCCCCTTTTAAAAAGGGAAGTTGGCTGCTTCAAATTAATGCCACTTTCCCTCCCTTCCCCGCAGAGATTACTTGGCAATGTCACGAGAAGTCTTTGAATGTTTTTTTTTTTTTTTTGGCCTTTTCAAATATGTAAATGAGCTGAAATTGAAAACGACGCGGAGAAATCTCAGCAGACAGCCACCATCCCCACAGGCGCGCTGCCAGCCTTCTGCTCCTTGTTTCACTTGCGTGTAAAGTTGGACTTTGAGCTTTCTCTAAGTTGTTGGGGGTTTTGGGTTTTTTTTCCCCCTCTCAGATAAGAAGCTGAGCTCAGACGGGTCTCCGTTCTTGTTTCTGGCTCACCCTGATCCTGGCAATCGCTGAAAGGCAAAGAGATCTGAAACAAAACAACAACAACAAAAACCTCTCTCTTTTCTCGCGGCTCTCATGTTTTCACGCATTAGCGTGACGGAGTGCGCTCCGACCCTCCAGGGAGGAGACGGGAATTAATATTTTGTAAATACTGACTAATGAAACGCTCCCACAATCCCTTGCTCCTGCCCCTCGTTACGTAACGCCTCAGCTCGGAGCCGGAGAATGGCCTGAGTCAAAACGGGTGTGGAAGACGTGATCTGGATCTCCCTCGTAGCTCTTAGCCTACTTATGCTGAGTGTTCAATGAGGCTGACACGAAGAGCAAACATGTGGGCGTGTGTCAGAGTTTTGCAATTAGGACCAATGCGATAACTTGTCTATCAGTGTGTAGCGGAGACGCTAATGGGCTTTTATTCAGCTGAGATGTCACTTTCCCCCCGAAATTCTTATTTCTTCTTCCCCCTGAATAAATACGGGAATTCTTACAGATGAGATTCAGTTATTACTGTCTGAGCATTTAATCATCACAACGGACTTAATGAGCTCAAAGTTAGCTATAAATACTTTAGCTGTAGATTCTTCCAACACAATTTGAAAGAGGAAGGAAGAGCCTGCAAAACTAGGCAAGCACATCTTTTGGCATGAGAATGGTACGCTTTAGTAAACGTACCATTGTATTACAGTAGGCCTATTCATACGACTGCTTAAAAAGGATAAGGTGTCGCGGCCTTGCTTTGGCTAGCTGTTACAGAGTGCAAAGCAACAGGTGGGGGAGGGAATGCTGCTGTACCTTGCAAACAACCAGAGAAAACAATAGGTTACAGGGACACTTCTATCAACAAAACACAAAGGAACGATATGATGAAACCTTTGAAGACCGCGGTATATGTTGACACCTGAAGCCTTTTTAAGTGTGCAGAAATTATCACTTTAAGCAAACAGGAGAAGACAGAGATAATTTGGAGCTTGAAAAAAACAGGTAACTGAAAACAGGTAAACAGGAAAGAGGTAACTTGAATTACCTGTCGGTTCACGACAGGTAATTCAAGAGGCAGGTTTTGATGGGTAAGAGGGTAAAAGATGTAAATTGTTCAATGCGGAGGTTTTTATTTGCTTATTTCTCCTTCCCACCAC